AAGTACCTTAATGCAAATCGAGATGTATGTATGTATGTATGTGAAGGCCGAGAGGGGAGGTGATTTCGTAGAGATATTCGTATAGCTACGCCTACTTCACTCCACTACGACACCACTACAAGGACATACATTCCCTTTAAACATGCACACAATCAAGGCTTAAAAGCAATCCGTCCTCAATTGACACTTTTGAGCGGAATCTCCACAAACACTCAACCAGGCCGAGGAGTTCGACTCTAAAGTTTTTATTAGGTCTAAACTATATGCACACCGCCCCCTAGCCTTTGATCACCCCCATATCCCATAACAACGCATGCACGCACGCACACACGCACATACACTGACAAGCAAATGCACTTAAATTGTAAATGTTGTGATTATATAGCACCGCCTCAAAGTATGCACCAAAATTTTTGACAAATGTATTTTTGCACTATTTTTAAATGCACCAAAACGACGATGAAAACGCCCAGTTTAAAACTAAATTTAAAACGTATTTTAAACTTAAATTAGTTCTTAAATGTTAAATAAATATAAAATGAAAATTTATTAAACAAAAACCTGGTGAGGGATTTTCCTTTTGAACGTTCTTATGTTAACTTAAACCAAAAGTCAAGAAAAGTCTGCGAAACATTTTATTCAATCGATATGCAATGTAAATACAGAACAAAGAGGATGGCTATAATGAAGTCTAAGTAATTTAGAAATTGTCACTATGTAAATAGACCAAAAACCTAACACAAACAGTGGAAATGGAAACCAGGACGAATCGAACAGATGATGATGAGAACAGTAACGAACGTAGTAAGATGAGGCAGAGAAAGAATGAATAAAATAAATGAAGATGTTTTTAACTTTAATTAGAAAGTGTTTTATGTATTATGTACGTACCGAGTATATGGTAGCCCACACAGGAAGTCCTACTAATAATTTCTAAGCCATTTAACTTGTAAATTATTATGGTTATAAATGTATAATGTAAATGAAAACGAAGATTCGGGTGTGGAATTATATACAGTATGTGCTCGAAGGAGATGCGGGTGGATGCCCCATCTAGAATGTCAACTGCGACTCCGGCAAGAAGAACTACCAGATATATATATATATATATATCGTATATATAGATGTGTATACATGTGTATGGTTATAAATTAAACCTTCTTCAGTTTGCCTACGAGTCTAAATACATATTTAGGTACATATAGCAGATATATATATATATTTCCAACTGGTGAACCAAAAAACTGGATTCGAGTTCAAGCGACAAAACCGAAAGAAAACCCCAAAACAAATAGAAACCAAAAAAAAAAGACGAAATGATACCATTATTAATATTGAAATTAAATTATATGCGTTTGCGGCATAAGGACAAAAAATGTATTACCAACAAAAATCTCTATATATATATATACACAACAAACTAATTTATGAGATTATATATATACATATGACAGCAACAGAAGTATATGTAAAATTAAATAAAAACGAAGCCTCAGTCAGTATAAAAAGTTCAATGTATTATTTCTGACCGAATGACCAATTTGGCCAATGGGAAAAACAATTTCGTTTCCAGCATCAGGTAAATTTTTGCTTTGTGCATTTCAGATCATTTCTTACAGTAATTACGCATTACGCGAACTTAATTATTTATAGCATGTGGAATGGGTATTCTCAGGGTAAGTTCTCATTGTCGGACTTTTGTGGGCTGCGAGGAAATTTATTTTCTTTTTAATGGGATTTAATTTTAAAGTATTCATACCTACCTAATAGACCAAGGGAAATGTTTGAAATTAATTTAAGCTTATAATGATAATGGTTTGAAACTAAAAATTTAACATTGAGTTTTAATCTTAAAAAAATATTTTATACTTTCCGCATTTCATCAAATTCAAACTCTCTTCAAGGTTTTCCTTCCACGGAACATAAACTTGCTTTCAGGGCAACCTAAATGATTGCAAAATATTATTATTGTGGACCTCAGCTTTTTGATCCTCTGATTAAGCGTTTTAATGCTTAACTTAAGCCACCTGGCGGTTGAAAAAAACTGGCTGGATCTTTTGGGAGTTTAAGCGTAAATATTTTGCAAGGAAAACAGGTGTCGTAAATTTTAATTAGCGTTAGCCGAAAACTAATTTCATGTTAATAACAAAAGTAACATTGTGGGTGGCCTCAAGGTCGTCTGGGTGGTTGAATTTGATGGGAGCTACATGGCAACCTGGAGAGTATGCGCGGAACCCTATTTTGTGGCTGCCAATTTACGCTTAATTAGATGGTTTCTCAGTCTCCATTTTGTCATGAAGAAATCATCATCATCATCTTTGGGCCAGAAAACCGAACCTTTTATGACAGCCACGCATGTGAATAAAAAGGGCTTTCCTGTGGGAAATTGGTTAAAGGTCAGGAGGGCATAAAAACAGAAAAGAAAACAGAAAACCAGGCCGATGGTGCCTGACCTTTCCTCGCTGCCGCGGCTTGTTAATTAAGGTGTGACAAATGCAATCTGCAGGCCAGTTAAGCGTGCAATCAGCCAAAGGCCAATCCAGTTGGCTCATTAAAAGGGGATTTGGCCCGGTTAACAACGTTCACACACAGGACGACCTCGACTAGGCGCGATAAAACAAATGCCAAAGCCTAAAATGGCAGCTTCTGGCATTTGCCATTCGCCTTCGCATCGCTGCTAAATAAATGGCCCTTAAATCCTCCTTGCAATTTGTTGCACCCCCACGGATCGGCGATGGGTATATGTGTACATGTGATATTGGATAGATAGACCGATAGATAGGATACCACGAACGTGCTATGGTATTGAACACCATAGCCAGCTTGAGATGGCTGGAATAAACGGAAACCGGAGAAGCTGAATCTCCCTTTTGCCCTTTTGGAGATTGCAATTGCAAAAATAACACAACATTTCAGTTTGTACCGCTGGCATTTGCCTGCGTAGATTATTTTTACATCAGCATTCCGAGCATTGGCTGGCATTGCCAAACTGCTTTTGGCCAACGGGCCAAACAAACACCCACTTCCACTCCCGCTCCAGTTTTTGGCCAGGAATTTGCAGCACTCGCACTCGCACTCGCACTTGCCCAACCTAATGCAAAATGTTGCGGTCTGTTTCCATTAAAGCTCCTTTTACTCGGCTTTTGGCAATCGTCCTGGCTTGTCCTTGGCGTGTGGTTTCCCCTTCGATATCCCAGCGACAGCTGACACATGCACCAGGCAGGGCCAAGATCCACTTCCACCTCGAGAGATATGGAACTGCATATCCATGGTCATTCGCTGGACTGGACATTAACCTATTTTTTTGGCTACCCCAAATAAATTGTGACACGTAAAAAATGCTACACTGACACATCTCTTTGTGAGAGACTCATAAAATCTGTTGAAATCATCAGAATGCCATGGCAAAAATTTTCTCATTTCTTTTCGTTTTTTCTTATTTTTGGCTGCTGCCAGCCCGCCATTTTTTACAGCCTTTATATTAATATTAATGATGTGCGCCGCGGAGGAAGCTGCTAAATATCTTTTTTTGCCTTTTGTCTGCCGCTCAAGCTAAAAATCGCCCTTTAGTTTCTGGCTAAACATGACGTATGCGTGATATTCAAATTAGCCTTTTGCACTCCGTCGAACAGCATGGCTGTGCTAGTCAGTCACTATAATAGTCAATCAAAAAACCATCTGCAAGCCAGACTAATTTGCATGATGATCCAGAGCAAGAGAAAACTCTATGCTAAATCCTCACTGGACCATGGTTTCGGACTCACATACACATGCATGTTCTCGCACTCGTAATCATCAAAAGGATACACAATCCTGTTGTTTTCGCTGCAACTTTTCGCCGCTGCCCCTGGTAGTTTTAATGTTGGAATAGTATTAGCCCCAAAGGGCCAACTGGAGGAGCAAGACCAGCTCCGGCTGGTTGGTATTTTGTTATTGTCATTGCTGTTGGCCCACAATGTAATTTGGTTTGGATTTTCACGACTTGTTGGCTTTTCCCCCTTGGTTTCCCTCCAGTCGAATGTTATTTTTTGGTTTCCCAATTTATTTATTTCCAGGCACTTTCCTAGCTAGCTGCTGCCCATTGTGCTGCTGCCACATTGCAATTTTCAAATACATCCGCAATGGTTGTGGATTTTCCTGCTCTTTTTTCGGTTGGGTTAATACTCTGGGAAAGGGTTTGGTTAAGGTAAGTTTGGAAATAACAAATGGAAATATTATTTCTGTATTTTATTTACCTTAACAAAGATTGATGCATGTATCGAAGGAAATCGGAAAGTTAAATAGGGAAACGCTTTGGCAAAACGAACAAAAAGAATAGTTTTGTTAGAAAAAGTAAAATGTTTTTAATATTTATTCATATATGCTTGATTAGTAAGTACAAAAAGAATAAAATAAGTTGTAAAATAGCTGTTTCAAAACCAAATTTTAGTTTTTTTACAGATTTTTTCTAACAAAATATTCGTTAGAGCATTCAGCTAGTGACTTGCACATCTGCACTGTCCATCTATCTATTGTTTCAAATTCAGCTTTCAATTTAAATTGTTTGGATTATTCTTTTTCTATTGTGTACATTGAAATTGTGTTTCGGGTATTTGTTGTGTCAACACCGAGTGAACGAGATAGTGTCACCCACTACTACTACCCCCCGATTTCGTCGCTTTGATTTCTCTGCCAGACAATAGGACGTCGCTAATGTCCCCGGGGTATATGGTACATAATATATATCGTGTGACTACTGATGTGCGAGTATTGTGTTCGGTTAATTATTCTGGTCGATTTAAGCATTTAACTTTTGAAAAGAGCTGTCAAATTGTGATGTCAGGACGTCAGTTGTTTTGGGGGCCCAACCAACAAAGAGAGCAATATTCCGAACAAACAGAAAGCGCCAACAAAGAATCGCACTAATCGCCGGGCGTGGGTGGTTGTGACGTCTTAAAGTTGCTCTAACAGGTCGTCTCCACCTCATTTGTTTACTTTTCACACTTTTATATTAGCCATTGTTATGGTAAAGCGACTTTATAATAATTTCGAAAAAGTGAAAAGGGAATAACAAGAAGATGAAGAAGAATGAAAGTGCTGCAAATGTTTACATGTCATCCTTTTCCTCGTCCTCATCCTCATCGGACACACCCACTGCCTTGTCGGGATAGAATTTCTTGAGTATCTTGTTTACTTCGGGCACGAGTGCCTCATAGTCCAAGGGAAACTTGTCCCGACGCGGCGGACCCTTATCCAAGCCCGACCATAACAGATGCACCGAGGTGCGGGCATTTTGCGAGAAGCCAATCTCGAAGGCTCCTTCCCGTGGAACCTGGTGCCCATATCGATTCTTCACCAACTGGAACTTTCGCTCTGGTATTCTATGCTGCAAAAATGCGCCACACTCATCGGCCTTTGTCGAGAAAATGGGACACTCGTAGGTGTGCTCTATGTAGATCATGGAACGGTCCTTGGTGAAATGTTCCTCGTCGGCCCAGTCTACTTCTTTTTTCTTTTTCGGTTGACCTTTCTTGCCCGGCATTTTTGCTAAGAGTGAATGTCCGAAATTTTATAGACGTTAAAAATTTCTTAATGCCAAATACATTTTGTTTTTAAAAAACAAAGACGATTGTGTGTTTTGAATGTTGACAATCCTTTAATTCATAACTGCCTTGATTGATGATGTTGGTTATATGATATTTTATTTATTGTGGAACTCGGATAAGAAGCTGTATGTTTAACATGAGTAACTTATAAGTTTATATGTTTAATAAGGCTGCGCGACAATATGTGGTGACGTCTTCAAAAGCAGATACAAGAAGAAAGAATACATAAGAAAATATCGCATAAAGCAATAAAAGGGTAGCTTAAGAGTGACCAAAGTTTGTATATCGATTGTTGCCCGACAAATCATATTTCAACACTCCTTCTCAACAATCATATACTTTATACATATTAATAACAATTCATTTCATTAATACATTTTACATGTTTGTTCTTTTGCAAGTTTTTAGTTAACACATCTGAGACCATATCATTAGTACTTATATACTTAACATCTATTTCATTTTTAGTATATAACTCTCGTACATGATGAAACTTAATATCAATATGTTTACTACGTTTATGCAAAATCGGATTCTTAGCTAAACATTGTGCGCTTTGATTATCGCAATACAACAAAACGGACTTGGTTTCTAAGAAACCCATTTCATACAATAGTTTCTTCAGATATATCGCCTCTCTAGCTGCCGTGGATAAGGCAATGTACTCGGCTTCGGTGCTGCTAAGTGCCACCGAACTTTGCTTTTTGGATTCCCACGAAATTGCCCCGCCAGCAGCAATGAAGACGTACCCGCTATACGATTTGCGATCTGTAGTATCGTTAGCCCAGTCAGCGTCCACGTATCCATGTATCTCCTTTCCAGTAGCCTGATAGTGAAGCTTCATGTTAGCCGTGCCTTTAAGATATCTCAGCACGCGCTTTGCCGAAACTTCATGCTCCTTGTGAGGATTGGCGTTGCGCTGCGCCAGTTTCACTACCGAGTGTAGTATGTCTGGCCTAGTTGTTATAGCCAAATACATCAGGGTGCCTATTAACGATTGATAGCCTTTCTCGTCAATGGCCTTGCATTTGGCGTCATCACATTTGACTTGATGACCCGCCTCCAGTGGTGTAGCTACAGGTTTGCATGTTGACATGCCCCAGGCATGAAGCATCTGCTCGACATACTGCTTATGGCCGATAGCTATGCTGCCAGTTTCGCCATCGCGCTCAACTTCGATGCCCAAAAAGTGATTGAGCTGGCCGCCATCCACAACATCAAACTTATTAGCGATTGATGCTTTGATGCCCAAAAGTTCATCTTGTCCATTGCGTACATATACGCACGGCTCGCTGACACACGGTGTAAAACCAAGTTTTTTCAATACTGCGTCGAGCTTAGTATTCCATTCTCTGCCGCTTTGTTTAAGCCCGTACAGAGACTTCTTTAGCTTTAGGACCTTCTCGGGAAACTCTTCGCTTACGAACCCATCTGGTTGCCGCATGTACACGTCCTCCGATAGCTCGCTGTTCAAGTAAGCAGTAGATACGTCCATCTGATGCAAATGCAGCTTCTTCTCAACCGCCAATGCCATGATCATTCTAACGGACGGGTATCTGACCACAGGTGAGAATGTTTCCCAGAAGTCAACACCATAGCGCTGAGCACATCCTTTGGCAACTAGTCTTGACTTAAAGCGCTCTACATAGCCTTCCTTGTCAACCTTTACGCCAAATACCCACTTGCAGCCTATAGCCCTTTTATCTTGTGGCAGATCCACTAGATCCCACGTGTTATTGGCCTCTAGCGCATCCATCTCCTTCTGAATCGATGCTGACCATTCCTGCTTCATTCCTGACTGATTAACCTCACCCAAATTTGCTGGAATGTGTATATCCTCTGCCTTCAGCATATTCAGACAGTTGTATTGCTTACGTGGTCGCCCCGGCTTGCCAGTTTTAACGAGTCTTGGACGCCCTGGTCCACGGGTTTCAGATACAGCAGGCTGCTCTGCCTCATCGCTGATAGCACTCTCGTATTCATCACTGTTCTGATCATCTCCTGTGTCCAAGTCATCCTCTCCGACGTCCAAATCATCCTCTGCCTGAAGCTGCTCATCATTGTTGTCTTGTGCCTGCTGATTATCTGCTACAAAATCATCAAACAATGCCATTTCCATTTTATCGCTTGGAGATCCACCTACATTATTTTCCATGAAAATAACATCTCTGCTTTCAATAACTTTCCTTGATTTAGGACAAAACAAACGATATGCTTTTGCCGTTGCTGAATAGCCAATCATAACGTATTCATTACCTTTTTGGCTAAACTTCTTTTTATGGGCTTTATTCAATACGATTGCCTTTGAGCCAAAAACCTTGAGGGTGCGACACATACGGTTTCTTGCCAACCCACGCCTCATATGGTGTCATGTTGCACAACGCTTTTGTTTCTGACCTATTGCGCAGATATGCTGCAGTCTGTACTGCCTCAGCCCACAGGCTCTCATCTGCGCTTGAATGAATCAACATACTCCTGGCCATTTCTACCAGAGTGCGATTTGCTCTTTCGGCAACTCCATTTTGCTGTGGAGTATAGGGTACTGTCAGCTGTCTTACTATACCGTTTTCAGTAAGAAATTGTCCAAATGCGTGGCTCACGTACTCGCGCCCGTTATCGCTTCGAATTGCTTTTACTTTCTTTCCGCGTTGTTTTTCTGCAAACACAACATAGTCTTTGAATGCGCTTAGTATTTCATCACGAGATTTTAAAAAATAAACAGCTGTATAACGCGAGTGATCGTCAATGAACGTTGCAAAATAACGCGCACCCCCGACAGACGGTTTGTTCATTGGTCCACATATGTCCGAATGAATCAAATTCAACACTTCTTCTGAACGACTTTCAGATTTCTTTGGAAATGGTTTCACACTAATTTTACTTTTGGCGCAAGTCTCACACGCATTGCTGTTTGAGTCAATTTTTGTATTAACTGTTTTTAAACCATTCACCATTCCACCACTCGCCATTTTAGTTAAGCTTGACAAATTTATATGGCCAAAACGATAATGCCATTTCCACATTGCACTGCTGTTTGTATTAGAATACATACACTGCTTCATTTTTATGTCAATCATAAACAAGTCACCATATCTGCACGCTTTCAATATGTCCACATTTTGTTTATCCCTAATCACTGCTTTGTGGTTATCAAAAATGACTTTATATCCATTTTCAACTGCTTTAGCCACCGATATAAAGTTTGTCTGTAACTCTTTTGCATACAACACATTTTTCAGTTCTATTGTGAAACTTTTTACACTAACACACACAGTGCCAATGCCATCGGCCAACACAAAATTGGCGCCAGCAAGAAATATTTTTTCTTTGTGCTCTCTCATTTCTACGAACCACGACTTATCACAACACATGTGTACAGTCGCGCCACTGTCCAGACACCACATTGATTTGCTCAAATTGTCAGTTTTCTTCACATTCGCCAGAATAGCAAGGGCTCTCTTCTTCTCAGTGCTTGTGTCTTTGTCATTTTTTAATTCTTCTTTGCACTGAGCTATAAAATGACCTTCGCGTCCGCACCTATAGCACTTCTTTTTCTTTTTTGTATTACCCTTTTGGTATACATTCTTCGCGCGCGACATAAATGCTTGCTGCACACTGCTGTCCGCAACTTCACTTTTCACTTGTTGTCTCTGTCCTTCTTCAATAATTTTTATTTTCAAGTCAGATAAGGACGGCAACATTTCTCGCGTCTCGATTGCCACAACGAAATTTTCAAATGATTTGCCTAAGCCGGTTAGCAACAAAATTGTAAGCATGTCTTCACTTATGTTCATTCCTATTTCGTTTAACTTTTCCACTATGTCCGAGAATTCACTTATATAGCTTTGCACACTTGTACTTTCTAGCAAGCTCATTCGCAGCAATCTTTTAAACAATGCTATTTTTCTAGCTGGTCCGCGCGGCTGGTACACACTCATTAATTTCTCCCATGCCTCTTTTGACGACGTGCAATTCTTTATGAAGTTAATTTGCGACGACTTTACACCCAGCAATATGCTTGCTAATGCCTTTTCGTCCCGTGTATCAAACAATGCGTTTTGTTCTTGGCTATCCCCTTCATTTTTCACAGTTCTCCCGCACACAATTGGCCACAGATCACTTTGCACCAGAATGCTTTTCATCTGTACCGACCATACCGCGTAATTTTCCTCATCCAACTTTTCGATGGAACATAACCCGTGTCCACTCATGTTCATTAATTTTTTTCGCAATCACACACAGTAATTTAAATTAATGTCACAGTTTTTTATCCACACGAGCCCTGGGCCCATAACCTGTTGGTTATATGATATTTTATTTATTGTGGAACTCGGATAAGAAGCTGTATGTTTAACATGAGTAACTTATAAGTTTATATGTTTAATAAGGCTGCGCGACAATATGTGGTGACGTCTTCAAAAGCAGATACAAGAAGAAAGAATACATAAGAAAATATCGCATAAAGCAATAAAAGGGTAGCTTAAGAGTGACCAAAGTTTGTATATCGATTGTTGCCCGACAAATCATATTTCAACAGATGACTTTTCTGGCAAGGTACTACGAACCATAAATCTTCTTTCGTATTCTCAAAGTGCGCAGCGCTGTCCAGAATGTTTTTACTAAGGTTATTTTTAAAACGCATGACAAACTGAAAGATCGTTTTTTTTTTCAAATTTTTATTTTGGGGACACGCACATGAAAAACCCGTGCAACACCCATTCTGTTGTTAATTTGGCTACATTGACTGACAACGCAGCCGCCTTAAAAAAAAAATGTAGAAAAAATAAATAAATCGAATAGATGAGATGCACAGGCAAATGCTGCCTCCATTGGCTCCGGTGGTAAATATTTTTCTTTATACTTGGTTTTATATATAGCTTGGGATGTATATATATATGCAACCATGTCCACAAAGCTCCAATATAGACGTCAATTTATGGCACTGTCTATATTCATGCAGAGCAGCTACTCAACAAATTCTATGCATAACAATAATATATTATTGTTGGACACAAACATGCATAAACAATAAAATGAAAACATAAAAAAGAAAAGTATTTAAAAGTATAAATTATGCTAAGATGGGATTTTTCTGTGGACTATTTGCTATCTTTTAGGCAAGTTTATTTAGAAAACTTTTGTTGACAAGTTTTATTTCGAAAAGTTCACTTTCTTATTCAAAAGTTTAACTTAAAATATTAAGTTAACTATATAAACTATTTAAAATATAATGTCCACTGTAAAAACAAAAATCCTTAGACTAATTAACATGCATTTCGGTGAACCAAAATTGCATTAAAAACAAAATGTAGTACTCAGATGTTGGCTCATTAAACTCGCCTAAGGAAACTTAATTGACCCAATTTGAGAATCAAGCATATGCTCGTTATATAATTTTGTATTTTTCATTTGAATCATTTAAATTTTTATTTTGCAAATTTAACATCGTTGGAATACACTCTTTTATTTGGTTATTTTTATTGGTTTTTGACTGGGCGGGATTGCAAATGGTCATTTATTGCATTTTATTTCGCCATTCCTCGCGGCTAAAGTTGCATGATTTTTTCCAACAGCTGCCCCCACACATTCGCCACAGCAATGGCATTCCCCACCCTTTGAGCCTCTTTAGCCCATCGTTTATTTATGCAATTTTCCAATTTTCCCAACATATCAGCTCTCACAAACAGCGGCGAAATGAAAGCATACAAAATGCAACGGGAAAGGCGACTTTAAATAAAAACCAAAAATGCAATTTGCAAATTAACAATAACGGGAATGTAAACAACGACAAGTGACGTCACTGGCCAACACAAAAGCAAAAAAAAAAACAAATTCAAAATCAAGCCGCAGGGTTAAAAATGCGGTGTTTGCCATACATATTTATGCGCATAAACTTTGTATTTAAAGTAGGGCCTTTTTTAAAGCAATATTCAAATGAACCGAAAAAATAATAATACAAAAAAATAAAAGAGATGGGGAGATGTGTATATTTTAGCCACAGAACTCAAACAAATGTATCTCTGTATTTCGAGTATCTGTGAATGTGGTGGGCCTGCGTTGTGGAAAAATAATCATCGATGCTGCGGCGTCAGTGGGGCAGCGCCAAGAGCAACAAATTTAAATATATTTATTTATCCGAATGGCGGAATATGTATCTCGCACACGCATGTCTGCACATACTTCAGATATATTTTTAAAAAATCAAAACGACATTTTCACTGCAGCATTTTGAAATACAACAGACGTTGACGCCGCTGTCGACGCCGACCGAGAGCCGCGGCGAGCGAACAAATTTCTGTTTTTTTTTTCATTTTGGCAGCTGCAGGCAGCGCGGCACTCGATCGTACCGCTTAGTGCCACGTCGTGTCTCAGAGCGCCCAGGCCACGGGCCCCGAACCGTACCGCTTTACGTTGAATATTTTAAAAAGATATTTTCCAAAAAAAATAAAAACATTCGAATATTATATTAAGTACTAGAACTAGAAAGTGAGTGCCGTGATTATCCTTCGTAGAAAACAGGGAGAATCCTTTGAAAAAGCTTCTCGCTGCTTATCCAGCATCCGTCATGCAGGTCTTCGATAACAATATGGTAAGTGAAATCTACCCTAAAGGCCAAAAAGCCATTTGTGTGGCCGTGTTTACCCAAGCCAAATTTATTGTCGCAACGCTGTGTATACATACCATACCTAGCCACACTTAGCCCAGTTAGCTTAACCCAGAAATGCCAATACACAAATTCCAGTTCCTTGCACAGCCACGCCCATTTTGGCCACAGAAAAAAAGGGTATTCTTTGTCAAAGAGAACAGAAGGAAGTAGAAGATGGTAGAGGAGGAGGGCAGGTAGGCCAAGTCAGGAAGTCATGCGGTGTTCAGAATGGGCCGCCAAATTAATTACAAAAATTCACTTAATGGCCACGATCCAAGTGGGTCAACGTACGTGCATGAGCCACTAGAAATTTGCAAACTGAAAAATGAAAGCTTAAGTGTTCCGCAAGAGACTTGTCAAAATTCCACCGTCTACCATAAAGTGCAACATAAATTGCTCTACCATAGCCAGACATTATAGTCCGATTTCGATATAGCAAAAAGTCATGACATTGAGGCAAACTATTCTGGACATTCCAGAGGCAGTGCATTTTCCATTAAAGTCGATTTCAGTAGATGAAATACATCTTTATTTTTGGCCAGACTAAATACATTTTTCTTCATTTTTTTTTTTTGCATTGCCAGAATTTTCCATTCCATTTGATTCGTTCGCATCATCTAAAAATACATATCCATATCTTTATTAATAATAAAAATAAGCTTGGAGACAAAACCAAAGACAGGCCAATAAGTATTCGCCGGATACTGATTTCTTGGCAGCTGAGCGACCCCATTAAGTACATAAATCGCGAGGAGAATATATAGATATATACATACTCCTATATCTGAACCGGCAAAATGCATATAGATCGGTTGACAAAATTGTCGCAGGCGGTCTTCGGCCATATGTAAGACACTTACAGAATGTGCGACATTAGTCACATTTCATTGGGCCAACTTAATCCCAAAATCGGTGGCAAGGTCGCCGGATGACGAAAGCAATCCGAAATGACATAGTTGATTTCCTTTTGATTTTCCCCACACACACACACACTCAGAACTAGGGGGTATAAATAGATCCGGCGGTTTTACAATACCGGCAAGGAATAGACAAGAAAAAAAAGTAGACCAAGAAACCAAAATGGAATTGGTTTATTTTCAGGCCGAATAAATCAATTGGCTTCTGTATTTATGCAGATGCCACCATTTGATTATTTCGCACTGTCGTTGATTTATGGCCAATGGCCAAAAGGGGTTCAGTCCTTCCCATTCCCATTTACCCCAATTCCCATCTATGCCGTTTCCCAATAGCGTTCCCTCTCTCTTTTCCGGAGCAGAGTGTATTGTGCACGTCATGTGTAATTGCTATACGTCAATGTCAATGTGTGGGTTAGGGCCTGATAAATGCAAGCATATGTAAGTGCTTGTGGTCGTCCAGGATCCAGTGGTTGCAATTGGTTGTTAGCTTTAATGAAATAGCCGATGATGTATTGTTGGCAAATATGTGCCTGGGCCATTGATGGGGAATATTGAGCAGAAGTATTATCGATTTCAAAGAGCAAAACCAAAGAGCCAGCCAAAAATCTTAGCTACACGGAAGTCTTGAGTCAATATATTGAAAACATTCCATTTCCTAAATGATTTTCATCAGCTATTGTTGATTGGCAGGCCAAAGAATGTTTCCCTAATACTTGCCAATGAGATAGATAGAAATCCATATGGTTTTATTAAAACTACAGCAGGGGATATAAAATAATAACGACATGCTGGAAAAATGTAATTAAAATTCCAGGAACCCCAGAACCATGACATCTGCCAAGCATAGGAAATCATTAAACTGGGGATACACTTCGGCGGGAAACATTCTTTATTTTTCTTGATTTAGCAACCGAAAAGAAATAAAAACAATAAGTGTGTGCAATAATTTGCATTTTTCGCCTTGTTTATTGATCAAAATACAAACAAACAAACTGCCGCAATTGTTTAAATATTTTCCAAACAAACATCTCGTCCAGCTAGCTAGGCTATTTATATATCGAAACTGAAATGTTAATTCGCTGAAAAGAAATGAATAATTAAATCGAAATATGTATCTGACTAATTGTGTTTGCCATATCTTCCATCCATTAGCGCCGTGCCTCGCGTCGCGCCTCCTTGCGCCGAGGTTCGATATCGGCCCTGCCGCAGAAATCGCACGAGATTCCCTGGGATATATTCGAGCGGCTGTTCATGCCCTTCCTCTTCTGCCAGGCGGCGGCCATTCTGACCTCGCATCTGCTCCATGTTCTGGACATCTCCAGCATCTCGACTTTCGCCGTCTTCGTCTGGTTCGCCCTGGCCACCGTGGGAGCTGTGCTGTTCTACCATTTCGTCAAGGTAAGTTTGTACTCGCAAGACGCAGACGTCTTAATCCTGGCGTGAAACCGCAGAAGGGATTGGAGCGGCATATGGTTTTGGGTTTCGGTTTCAGAGCCACGGGCGGCGGCCATAAGTTTAGGATATATATAATATATCTATATATATGTCTGCCGCTTTGGTCTTTCTTTTCCTCATCCGTTTTGGCTCGCTTCAAGTGCCAAGCCAAAACCACAAGTGACGACGGAGGGTCTCAAATACTAGGCAAAACAAATCAGTGGCACTAAAAATAGTCGGGCCACCGAGCAAGAATCCAAGAAGGGAGCTTGGGTTAGAGGGTCCTGCGGCAGGCACGTCGTCAACTTATGTTTAACCAGACCAGAGGAAACCCTTGACTGTGGATTTGGCTTCGGATTTGCCTTGCGTTTGGTATTTCAGAGCAGCTTACTGCCTGGCAGCCAGCCGGGAAAATGAAAATGAAAACAAATAAATAAGCAGCGAGGATGGGGGTAGTCCTAAAGGGGAAACAAACCCAAGCGAAACTTGCTGAAAGAAAAGGGTTTGGTAATGAATATAAATTCGCAAGTAGGAAAAATGCGGAATGCGGAGTCTTGATTCACTTGAGACCAACCAAAAATTGCTAGGCTGCGATTGCCAGTTAGGGCTAGGGGCCATCTAGTAAATTGTTAGCCATTTCCATATAACCCTTCAAAGTTTCTTAGAATTTAAGGCATCTTCAGACAGTTATTTATTCTACATTATATGTCTTGAAAGTAGACTATTAGTTTATCTTTAACTCTATCAACTTTGGTTAACCCGTCGTTTGACTAAAACTTAATCCATTCAATGCCAACTCATCGTCTTAATTTCGTTTCATCGCTTCCCATGATTCAATTTCAAATACTTAAAGCCTTGAGGGCTCTATTCGAACATCCTGTTTGCTCGCGCCTTGCTCAATTAAACTTCTGAGGAGCTCAGTCGGTGTACACCGCAGGCCATGTGTGCCTTCTTCAATAGGATTATTTGCCTTCATCGTCAGGGATTAACTGGTTAAATTACCACAATGCGTATACGCAATGCCATTGAATGGAGTTATCTTTCGATTTCACACTATTTGCTTGGATGCACATCCATGATTATGGCGCCGACAAAGTCAGCTGATAACTCAAATTTGCCTGCACTTTAATTAGCTTTCCTTGGGATGGGAGGAATGGTGAAATGCGGGGAGAGGTGGGCCTCGGCAATGACATTGGCCATTTGCTGCCTGGCAATTACAGGAGGATAAGAGTTTCGAGCTCTGTGGCCGCCATCCGTGGCACGTCCGCGGCGTCGTCCTGTTGCCCGTCCATATCGTATCCGTATCGGACAGGATGGCAGGATGGCAGGATGGCAGGAAGGCGTACGGCATTGTCCTGGCAATTGCAGGCTGCTTGTGGCGCACTCAATGCGATGCGCAACCCGACATTAAGGTAATAAGCACGACGGCAGGATAATTAACAGCAACAGCAGCAGATGCAGCCAGGGTACAGTAACAGGAGGTGGAGTTCTGGTGGCAGGACTCAGCTGTCTCGTTTTACCAAGGATTTGTCAAGGACAACACTCGGACTATCATGAAAACAAGAAAAACCTCTTAAGTGGACGGCCAGGGAATACCCTACATAGAAAACAAATTAACTGATTACTCAAGGGGATTTTAGTTTGACAGGTTTTTTGTGTTTTTGATTATAATTTCTTGAAATATTTTTCAAGGTTGTCGCCACTTATTTATAGTTTTAAAAAGGGATGAGGGTTAAGGAAATGAGGAGATGATTCTGAAAGTAAACTTCTTCAGACAATGATGTAAGAGTAGACATGATATGGAGTATCTGTATCATATATCCTCTCCTGCTCAATAATTCCCCTCTATTTGCAATCCCCTGTAATCTTTTCTAACTTGCCTTAAGTATAGCAAATATTTTGAAACAAAATCCGAATTACTAAATTCCCCTCCCTCTATAACGAACTACCAATTCCTGACTTTCGATGGATTATTTGCATAACAACAATCCAAACGTCCTTGAGAAAGACGCTGGGCGTCTATTTTTAGCCCCGGCAACAGAACATGAGCCAGAGCAGTCAACACTCCCTTTTCTTCGGTGGAGGTTGGAAACAGCGAGAAGGAGGCGGAAAGGACACGGAATGTCCTTGTCTTTGATTAGCTTTTCGGCCTGGCCAGGCCTCAACTATTAACCCGATTTCTGGTGTGTTCTTTTGTATTGCCAACTGCCATTCCGCATTAACATTTACATGTGCGGAGTAGATAAAGTTATTTGCAACATGCGTGAGTCCATGGATCTATGGACACGACCTAGCCTAGCCTAACCTATCCTGTTTGTCCTTGCACATCACGTTGTGCATTTCATTTTTATGGCACGACCGTCGAATTAAATTACACGAACGCACACACGCAGACATGTGTAGGGATTCGCAGGAAGGCAGAAGGATTCCATGGGAGAAAGGGAATTGGGGATGGCAACTGTTGACGCGACAGCACAAATTGGGTGCAATGAAATGTAAATGCGCAGCTAATGAAATGCTCACCGATGCCGCCCCCTCGACCAGCCACGCCTCTCCCCCCGTCTGGTGTTGCATAAATCCCATATTATTCTCACCTAAATTGCAGCTGCTGCAGGGAAGCAACTGCAGCGCCAGATTGTAGGACTGCAGAGGACTATTTCGGTTCAATTTCGACATTGGGTCCCTTTCGCAAACGCAAATTACACTCAGCTTAATATGCATAATTAAGTTCGCAACCCGCTTTCCCACCTCCCCCAGACCACATTACCCTCGGGGGTCTGGGAATTCTCCTCGGGCGGCGAGCAACAGTTTCCCGGAACAAGACACGAGATGGGCGATGAGAATGGGTGCGGGGCTTGTCAGCTGCCAGAAACAGTGTAAATAATTGAATTAATAGCTTCGTGTGAGCCACGCTAATGAGCAGTTGCTCAACATCAACAACGCCCACTGCAACACGCCTCCATTGCTCAATCCTCAATCCTCCATTTCAGTTTCCCCTTTTCAAATGTAATTGAATATGCGGGGATCTTGAACTTTTTCCCTCGCAGAGAACTTACGAACTGGCCATCTGAGCCAGGTGAATCCGGAGTTGATCCACTCGGTTTTTGGTTACCTCAGAGTCATGATCCAACCACTCGGGCGGAAGACGGCGGAAGTTTCCCAGAAGCATTTACAGCACTGAGCGGAAAGTAATAAGCAAAACATTTTTATTCTGACATTTACAGCCTTAAAAACTTTGGTTTATGTTGGGTAATGTCAAACATATCCAAAAGGGCTTTAAAATATTATAATATTAATGAAACTTTTTCCAACTATTAACCTATTAAACTGCAAGTAAAAGCTTTTACCATTAACCTTTGGGTGAGGAAGTGCATTAAGAAACTTGAAAACTTCTAGAAACCTTAATATAGGTCACAGAATAACTTCACGATTGGAAAATCAGTATCAAATTTCTTTCAAATGCCTTTAAAGTTTTTCAGTTTTTCTCAGTGCATAGATAGCAGCTGGCAGGCTAGTGATTTCGCCGTGCATCCGTAACAATGTCCTGGTGCCTGGTGACTGGTGCACTGTTTATTACCCAGTAAACCATCTACTTAGCTCCCTAGGTTTTTTGCTCGAAAAGGGACAGCTTCCTTAGTTCCCGACTGACTGCAGCACACTTTGTCGTAGTTACAGCTCCATAAAACTTTGGCCGTAGACAAATTTTACGCTGATTTGTGTGTTGTGCACGCTGAAAAAAAGGGAATGTTTTGTCAAGCAGGGAGCCAGTGCATTCGCAATTAGGAGACGTTGATGATGCCGCTGATGATGATGATGTTTGGGAGGAAAGATGGGAGCTAGAAGCTGGGAAGGAGCTGGGAAACTGGGAATTCCTGGGCACAATGCATGAGGACAACTGAAGGCTATATAAAGGACGGTTCTTTCCGCTCTGCCTCGCTGGCAAAACAGGCCATAAAAACTCATTATGTGCGAAGTTTCGTTCGCTTGTTTTTACCCATTGGTCTCCCCACTTCGTTGTCCTTTGTATCTACCAGATACATATACTCCTCCGTTTTCTGTTTCGGTTTTATGGTGTCGCGCGTGGCCTGTTGATTCACACATAGACACACACACCCTCACATTAATACACACACATACACACGCACACACATAAATACACTGAGGACATTCAGAAATGGCAATGGCGTGCCCGGCCTGACAATGGCTGGAAATGAAGGACACGGCAGATGGGAGCTGTGAGCTGGGACATGGGACTCGGATACGCGCATTGCGTTTCTTAGAATTGCACGCCATTAAATCGCCTTGACAACTCCCTCACCGCTTCGCACCCCTGACCCCACTGGGCCATTGGATATCGCCGGAACCCCTTCCCCTTACCCCTTGGCCATTTGATTCTTTGCTGTGCTGCGCACTTTAGTTAAATTAAAAACCAATTGCAGACGAGGCAGCCGTGCATCCATCGCGCATCGCACATCATGCTTCGGCAGTCAAAGGTCAGAGGTCACCAAATGTGGGTAAAATGCGAGCAAAATGCTGCCACATGATTGGCAGCCAGTTCATTTGACATTCCCAATGCCTTGACTTCATTTTCCTGCTGCAGACATAGGAAAGTTCCATTTAGCTAGCCAATTCATTACCTGAAATTGTTTCAAAGGGGGTTTCTGTGGAATTTGGAATATATAATTTAGAAGTTTTGTCTATTTTATGAAGTGAATGGACTTAATATACTTTAAATATATACTTACGAAGAGGAATGCTAAATGAAAGTATATAAAAAAGGACATACAACATCATATTTGTTAGTATTTTTAGCTCTGTTTGCATTTAATTACCATTTTCACCATTAAAAATTATCCAAATGAATGGTTCAAATCATTAATTTATATTTTAAATATCTGTTATGCAAAGTATTTACTCAGCTAATTGTAAACAATATTGAATTTCACTCAATTCACTTATTTTCC